ATACTAGGAAGCTGAACTTCACAAGAGGGAAGCGAGGCTTTCGTGTTGCTGCTTTGAAAGTTAAGTTAACCTTCTAAAAGTTTGCAGTTGCGTGGTTAGAAATCTAAAGTTGGCCACAGAGTGCTTCTTTAAAATAACAAACAAGCTAGAAAGAAAAACAACACAAGAGCAACTGGCAGCAACATTTTCTGTTGCTCCGCCCAAACACAGGTTTTTAAGAGTACAGATACATTCTTTCCAGGACTTAGCTTCATGAAACATCAGCAGAGTCAGTTCTGCGTCGATACATCCGTTCTCTTACTGAAGGACCAGAAGGACCTTGGACGAGCACACAGTGGCACTGAAGTAAGAGTCACTACCTGCCAAGGACCTGGAACATCTTCCAGATGATGGATTTTCAACGATAACTTCAGTTCTTAGGTGCCAGTCCTGGGAACCAGGACCATAAAGTTCCCAGAGGAAGTAATGGCCTAGAAAACCCAAGCCAGAGACACCCTCTCATGAAGCATGGCTGCACTGCCCAAAGGTTAATGGTCACATCCTTTTTCTTTTGTTCTAACTAAGTTGTTAAAGAGCATTTTAACATTCCTTACTTCGCCAGTCGTGTCCCTCGTGAGTCATCTTTCCACACCCTGTGACCACATGTCACCTTTGCAGTTTTTGAGGCGCATGCAGAGACCGAACACCTTCTGTCTTTCATCACCCTCTCATCGCCTCCTTTTGAGCATGAAGTAACCTTTGCTCCATACCTAATGTTCTAACGCTACGAACATCAGCTCTTGTCAAGTGAGAATAATGGAAATGCCGAGCCTGTCTCCATTCGTCCCTTCAGAAATACTTGAGTGGTTGATTTTAGGTTCTACTATGAAGCCAGTGCTCTCCAAACCACCTGCTCTTCCGTACCCTCTCCTGTCGATTCCTTTTACCGATAGATCAGCAGCACCAATCTTCTTGCGACTTTCCCAGATTCACGCCGCTTTCCACCCAAGAGAAGATTTGCTTTGTTTTGTTTTTCCATCTTGATTGCTTCTAACAAGAGCGCAGCCTGAGCTCTCTCTTTCTTCCCTGGAAAAGTCTGGCTCCCTGTGCCACATCTACATCAGGTTAGGAAGGTCCTCCTGACTTATTCACAATATCCTAAACATTTTACCTTAGCATATACCACAGCCTTCGCTCAATTACTGCTTGAGTAATTGCATTTTTAAAATACGTGTCTCTATAAGACTGTGAGTTCAAAGGGTTAGTAACTATGTCTTACATAAGGGAAATTCTCTGTGACTCTGTCTTGGCTGGTTTGTAAAATGTGTAGGAACAGTAATAATCAGATATGAAAATAGGACCAGAGGACAATACATCTTGGCTGCCATGATGAATACTTTTGACTTTATCCTAAAGTTAGTAACAATTACGCTAATGTCTATGTGATCTGACCTGTTTCAAAGAATAAATCTGGCCACAGTTGGTGTGGCTGAAATGGTAGACAGGACATCAACCATTGCTACTGTAGACCATAAAACATGGTCACATCCCCTTTGCAAAGTAACTATGCCACTATTCCTGTCCCACAATTTAGAGTTTAACTGTGATAGTGCAACATGATCTAGCCAATGAAATATTACGAACTGTGATGCTGTAGAAGTTTCAAAACTGCCTGCCCATTGGGGATTGCCTAGCAACCTGAAGCTTCCATATGATATAACTCTCCAAAACAATGACTCCCTACCTCAATCAGGCCTTAAATTTCCACCACCTTGTTCACATGGGAAGCACAGGTCTTTCTCCGATACAGTCTAGGACACCGAGGGGTTTACACTAGAGTCTAGAGGGCGGGGAAGGAGCAGCCATAGCTGCTTAGACAGGATATCCTAATGCTCTTAGGACTTTACCTTGAACACTATTCGGTAAATTTCATGGAGCAATGAGTGAACAGTTAACTCAACCCAGGGCGCTAACCAGCTCTATTGACATCTCTACCAGACTGAGGAGGACGGACAAATATGTTCACCACATTGAATAGGGAGCAGGCATGTTAGAGAGAGTGGCCGGTATAACCATGCCCATAAGTTCAAGAAAATATGTAGAAGTTACTTTACAACATCTGCTTTGTAAAGAGGTCATTCAAATAAAATTTTGTTATAATGATTGTTTTTCCTAAAAAAGTTCTTTTCAAGAATTTGCTGTTATTGTCATTTCTATCTAAGCCTTATCCCCAGGGCGCGTTGCACACAGTTATGGAACTGAACAGGTATTTATTTCTGGGCACGTTGCACACAGATTTAATTGTCAGTTTCAATAACTCTAAAACTATGATGATTTTATGAAATTGAATTTGACTCTTGATTTTTCTCTGTGTTCTTTTAGTGGATTATGAACTTACTGACAATCTAATACCTAATTCTCAGGCATTTTGTTATAATTATTTCAGTATAATTATACAGACATAAACACAAATGTACACATACATGCAGAGATATACAGACACATACACAGACACACAGAGATACACACACATACACACAGACACAGACACACACAGATACATACACAGAGATACACACAGACACACATAGAGATACAGACACACAGTATTTCTCTTAAACACATGCACATACACACTATTCCACTTGTAGAGCCACAGTAAGTTAGTCTCTGAATGGAGTTATTGCTCTATAATATTTCTGTGTTCTCTGCAATGAAGCATAAAGAAGCCTCCAAAACACACATTAGACACACACACACACACAGACATACACACAGATGTACACACACATGCAGAGAGATACACACACATACACACAGACACAGACACACACAGATACATACACAGAAATGCACACAGAGACAGAGACACACACAGATGCATAGGCACACACAGACAGACAAAGACAGATACACACACAGACATACACACACTGAGATAAACATACAGACATACACACACAAACACACACACATACGCACTGAAAGCATCCTTTTTATAAGCAGGTACAAAGCCAGCCTGCTCTTAGGGAAACGTTCTATGAGTTGTTCTAGTGATTCTGTGCTCATTAACTTACTCTTTTCTAGATATGATCAGGGAAGATGTATTTCACAGTATCAAACATGACCTGAATTGTTATCTTCTCTCAAGACTAATTTCATCTCAAACCATCTGTGGTACTCCACAAACATATAACTTATGAAAACCTTGAGACGAATATACAAAATTGTTATTAGAAAATATTTATTATTAAGGAAACAAGGTCTTATTTTATTGTCCAGACTTGCTGTGAATTTCTGGGTGCAAGTTACTCTCCCATCTCAGCCTCATGAATCCTGGGACTATAGATGACAGTCCTTCCCAAATGAGCACTTTTCCTTTACCCACTGACGTCATCTGCTAGGGTTCCCTCACCTGAAAAGGGTGTTCCTCTTCCTTATGTAAATAGACCATAAACTACAATAACTCTATCCAACAACATACATATAAACTTCTTTCTTCTCTTAGGAAAATTAAAAAATGACAGAGAAACCTAACAGGCGCTTTTAAATCAAATTTATTATTTTTTCCCTCTCATCACTGTGTACAAACCTGGCCTCCATGTGTATTCACTTTGTTTCATACATAAAATATAATTGAAAATAGTACTTGGATGTTCAGCTGCGTTCACAGCAATGCTTAATCTTCTGTCCTCTGAGTAATGTGCAGACATCCACTAATGCTAATAAAGGCTTGTTAACATCCAGGGAAGTCGCAACCCAAGGGAGGTGAAGATCCGCATGAAGGACAGGCAGGACAGGATGTGCATGTGTGGTTTCCACTAGCAACCTAGGCAAAAAGTGCAGATTCTGAGCTAAGATGTCGTACAGGTGTTTAATGCAACAGCCCATTCCCAGTCCTATCCCTCAATGCAGTTCTTACTATTTGAGCATGAATGTAATCCCGAGCATGTGATTAAAAGACCACAATTTGCAAAAGGAAGATTGTGCGACTCAGGTAGACCAGCGGTTTATTGAACCTGACATCAGAGGAAGGAAATGGCCCATACTGCTTGCTAAGCAGCTTTGTGATTTGAAGTGTAACATGGGACTTATACTGTAAGCACTCTGAATAAAAAAGTAGGAAAATGGGTATGTTGCAGTTGCTTCCAGTGTGTTTCTTTTTATTCAGAACATCCTAGTATTCATTGCTCTCCCTTCAGCCACTGGGGACTTTTCCAGACTTTTCCATAATACATCTATATTGGGAAGGGGTGCAATTCAGAAATACAGAATTTTTCAAACCTTGTTGTGCCTCTGTCAAAGAGGAGAGGGATGAGTCCCTGCATCCCATCTTCCGGTTATGACCAATTTCATATCCTTTCGAGTTAGTTAAGTGAAATTGTTAGATAAGTGTCTGCTCCCCAAATCAGCTCCCATCATTCTGTAGGCTGGCTGACTCACTCTCTCAAAGCCAGCTATGCTATGGCTAACCTGCAGTGCTCAGAGTCTCTCTCTCTCTCTCTCTCTCTCTCTCTCTCTCTCTCTCTCTCTCTCTCTCTCTCTCCCATAACTGTGAGCAAGCCCAGCAGCCCCTGATGTCCAGACTTGGGACAACCTTGAAATATGCTTAAGACCTTGACTTGCTGCCCTGTGGCTCCTAGCACATGGCATCTAAGCTAAATCAGATGAACGTGTTCCCACTTTAGGGCTCCACGTGACTACCTATAGCTGTTTGAGTAATGTTAGCCCAACTTCCGTTCTGTAAGCCTACTTTTTTCTACAAGTTATAGCATGAATGTCAGGCAATCACATTGATCATAGCTTATTGCTTTTGTTCATATAAAACTGAAGTGTGGAAATTGAGTGTATCCTTTTGTGTCCAACATAGATATCAAAAAAGTGTATGTGTGTGTTCAATATAGCCTACTTCAGCTTATAAATGATTGAAGGTTTATGGAACCATGTTGATAATAAGGAAATAGACTTAAAAGATGGTATTCTTAGATACACTTAAACGAAGAAATGTTCTGTCTCCTCAGCTGTTAAGGAGAAAGCCAGCTTCATCACTCCAGTGCCAGGAGGTGTGGGACCCATGACTGTCGCCATGCTTCTGAGGAACACGCTGCTGGCTGCTAAGAACATCACATACTAGATCGCACAGGAGATCTAGTATCAAAATGGATAATGCTGCTTATTTATTCGACAACAGGCAGAACTATTTCTATTTTACTACAAAGCTATTTATTTCTACATTGTATTTATTTTTTCATCAGTGGAATCATCATGGAACTAATTATTTACACAACCTTTTGAATTTCTTGCTACTAGATTTTGAGTTTTAAGAAAAAAAACCAAACAATTCCAATGATAAGTTTGGTAACAATTCTTTATTTTATGGATATTTGTTCATAATGTTAAAACAAATGAAGAATTCATATTAAATAAATATATTTTTGACATACCCTAAATATCACACACAGTATGTTTTTGAAGACTATTTTGTCAGCCAAATGGGTGCCATGGAAATTGTAATTTATTATAACTGTGATTTTTTAAATATAGCTCATTATTCTAGGTTGTCTGTTGAAAAAGAGCTTATCTGTTAGGAGGAAGATAGAATGTTGAAAATGAAGTCTTTATCTCAGCTATCTTCCAGCATCCCACAAAGGCAATCCTATGGAAAAATTGACATTTTAGTTAAGAAACGAAACTATTTAGGCAAAAGTCGCCATGCTACTTAGAAAACTAAAACCTGATGACTTGGTGTAGTACAAGGGCATATGTGTTAGGTGCCACATCACTGAGTTCACTGGTGTGGGATAAGACTGTGTGTGTTAGGTTTTCACACTGTAGAAGGAGCTGCGGGCTGCATTCCTGCCTGGCTCCCGCACGCCTGGCTAGCTTATGCCCTGAAATAACTGCACGGAAACTGTATTCTTTTAAACACTGCCTGGCCCATTAGTTCTAGCCTCTTATTGGCTAACTCTCACATCTCAATTAACCCATTTCTAATAATCTGTGTAGCACCACGAGGTGGTAGCTTACCAGGAAAGATCTTAACCTGCGTCTGTCTCAGAGAAAAGAATCATGGCGACTGACCTCACTGCCTTCTTCCCAGCATCCTGTTCTGTTTACTCCACCTACCTAATTTTCCATCCTATTAAAGGGCCAAGGCAGTTTCTTTATTTAACCAATGAAATCAACACAAAACAGAAGACTCTCTCATATCATCACAGTGTTCATTTCTCTTCACTAGTGATAACAGAAATTCTCAAAACAAATGAACGTACATAGTCAAATGAGAGTAATCTTCCCCAAAGTGTCAACCAAACACAGTTCTGATGCTGTGTGAGTGACTATGCCATTGAAGAACTGTCATATGTTTATTCGTGGAATAGAAATATAATAGAATTATGTTTTCATTTTACTAAAATTGAAACCTAAGATATAGCTAAAAGCTAGTCTTTGTGCGGACATTTCTTCTCTTTTCCAGTATAGCAATTAGTTTCTAACAAGAGATGCTGTGTTTCTAATACAATTGAAATTGGGAAATATGTGTGACTGTTGAAGGCTTTTAATGACTAGATCCATATAATTGGTACTAAAGTTTCATGCCCAGATCCCAGTATGTTTATGTACTAATAATGGTTCTTGTTCAATGCATGTGTTTATCAATGTGCCTCTTGATCCTCTGTGTGAAAATAGACTAGCTGTTTATAACTAGTGTTTCAACTGTCCAATAAAAGCAATTTGAAGAAGAATTACAGCTATGTTCTTTTCTTAAGATAGCTCTTATTTTTTGGTGGTGGTGGTGGTGTATGTGTTGGGGGTTATGAGAGAGAGAGAGAGAGAGAGAGAGAGAGAGAGAGAGAGAGAGAGAGAGAGAGAACAGGTTTGACAGCAAGCACCTCTACCCCCTGAGAGGTCTTGCTGTCCATGTTAGCTGTTCATTTACTATATTCTGGGGAAAATGCATTGAGTTTCTCAAACATGAAAGAAAGGACAGTAGAATGTGTTCTACAGTGAGTCCAGACCACGTGGTCAAGTATTTCTGACAGAACTCTAAATACAGTTGCAGGCAAACATTTTAGAAAGAGCATGGTTTTAAATAAACTTTAATGGAGCCTGGTTTCCAAAAAATGCCCAAAGATGCATAAATACAGGTACTACAAAAATACAATAAAAATATGAATGTTTCCCTGCCCAGTGAGATGAAAAGGATTATTTTGGTATATTATTTATTTAGGGGTCATTCTTCCCAGAGACTAACCAAAAAGAAAATTTCTGATGATTGTTTAAATTGAAAAGGAAGACTTTCATCAAAACAAGTGCAGTGGAGTCAACAGAGTCAAGGAGACAAGTTGACTTTGTCTCTACACAAAACAAAGTCATATGGGGATTTATAAATGGAGTCACCAAGATGCTAAAACAAACACATGAGGAATTACTAAGAGGAATATGTTTCGATATCAAGAAGGGGGAAGTTCTTGCTGGCATGATTTGTTAATTTTCTTGGTAACAGTGGGCCAGAGATTTTGACACCATGTAATGCATGGAAAAGGGAACTGCCTCACAGATAAATACAAGGTGTGGGATGGGGTTGTCATGACCTGAGTTAGCAAGATTCTCTGCTGCAACTAAATTCAATTGACTGAGGTATAGGCTTTGTCAACAAGAAAGCTCAGAATAGTAAAGCCAAGTGTATAGTGAATGCAGGAGTATTTTTCCATACATAATAGACAAAAATAGCTGAATGGAATAATTCTGTTCAGGGATAGTTGGAGTTCATAAACTGCAGATATATGATGTCCTTGAGGAGTGTAAAGAAACACTATTTTTTACACTGTCTTCAGAGAAGCTTAAAGAATTGATATGCCCAAGAGTGGTATGGCTGGATCCCGAGGGAGGTTGATTCCCAATTTTCTGCGATACCATCATAGTGATTTCCCACCATAATTTGCATTTCTTCTAGCAATGGAGGAGTGTTCCCCTTACTCTACATCCTCTTCAGCATTAGCTATCTTTGGTGTTTTTTATCTTAACCATTCTAACTGGTGTAAGATGATATCTCAGAGTCATTTTGATTTGAGTTTCCCTGATGGTTAAGGGTGTTGAATATTTCCTTAATTGTCTTTTGACCATTTGAGATTCTTCTGTTGAGAATTCTCTGTTTAGATCTGTACCCAATTTTTCATTGGATTATTTGGAAATTTGATGTCTAATTTCTTGAGTTCTTTATATATTTTGAAGAACAGTCCAGCATTATTTGTAATAGCCAGAACCTAGAAATAGCCTAGATGCATCTTGACCAAAGAATGGATGAAGAAAATCTGGTATATTTACACAATAGAGTACTACTCAGCAGTAAAAAAAAAAAAAAAAAAAAAAAAAACAGTGACATCTTGAAATTTGCCTGCAGACAGATGGAACTAGAAAAATCATCCTGAGTGAGATAGCACAGACCTAGAAAGATGAACATGGTATGTACTCATTCTAAATAGATACTAACTATAAAGGATAACAAGCCTATAGTCCATGACCCTAGAGAAACTGTTGCACAGAGAGAATTTGTTAGAGGAGCGGTAGCTTGTTTGTTCCCAGCTGCTTAGCCCTGAAATAATCACACAGAAACTGTATTAATTAAATCACTGCTTGGCCCATTAGCTCTAGCTTCTTATTGGCTAACTCTTACAAATTAATTTACCCACTTCTACTAATCTGTGTATTGCCACGTGACTGTGGCTTATCAGCTAACGTTCTGTCTGGCTCCTGTGGGGCTACGTGGCTTCTCTCTGACTCCACCTTCTTCATCCCAGCATTCCGCTTAGTTTTCCTTGCCTAGCTCTGTTTCTTTATAGCTTTCCCATAGACCCAAAGCAGTTCCTTTATTAACCCATGATATTGCACACAGAGAGGAATCCCACATCAAGAAGCTAAGTAACATGGTGGACCCTAAGGAAAACATATGGATTCCCCTGGGTAGGGGAAATAGACAAGGTGATGTGGGATTCCCCTCTGTGTGCTGTGATTCCCATTAATGAATAAAGAAACTGCATTGGATCTATAGCAGGACAGAATTTAGCGAGGTGGGGAAAGCTAAACTGAATGCTGGAAGAAAGGAGACAGAGCCAGAGAGAAGCCATGTGCCCCCCTGCTCGCCAGAGATGGAACTTTAGCCAGTAAGCCACAGCCACATGGTGATACACAGATTAATAGAAATGGGTTAAGTAAAAATGTAAGAGTTAGCCAATAAGAAGCTAGAGCTAATGGGCCAAGCAGTGATTTAATTAATACAGTTTCTGAGTGATAATTTTGGGGCTAAGCAGCCAGGAAACAAACAAGTGGTCGGTCCCCTTACAACAGACAAAGTCTCCTGACAAAATTGGGAGCATGGGGGTGGGGTAAGAAGGGAGAGCAGAAGGTAGAGAGGAGGGCAGAAGGAAAGGAGGAAGGAGAACATGAAGGAACAGGATAGTCGATGGGGAAAGGATAGAGATGGAGAGCTGGGAAAGATATTTTGATTGATGGAGCCATTACAAGGCTAGCAAGAAACTTGGCACTAAAAAATTTCCCAGGAATCCACAAGGATGACCCCAGCTAAGACCCTAAGCAATAGTGGAGAGGCTGCCCAAACTGGTCTTGGCCAGTAGTCAGATTGATGAACATCTTAAATGTTATCATAGAACCTACATCCAGAAACTGATGGAGACAGGGGCAGAGACCCACCGTGGAGCACTGGGTTGAGCTCCCAAAGTCCAGCTGAAGAGTGGGAGGAGTCATAATATGAGCAAAGAGGTCAAGGCCATGATGGAGACACCCACTGAAACAGTCTGCCTGAGGGATGGAAGCTCACCAACACCAGCCAGACTGAAAAGAAACAAACAGAGGACCAAGCTAGAACCTCTGAATGTGGGTGACAGTTACATGGCTGGGACATACTGTGAGGCCACTGGCAATGGCACGAGGATTTGTCTCCGCTGCTTGTACTGGCTTTTTGGAATCCTTTCTCTTTGAACGGATACCTTGCTCAGCCTGGGTATAATGTGGAGGGCCTTGGAGCAATGTGCCTTACTCTCTTTGGGGAGTGGATGGAGGGTGGTTTGGGAGGGAGTGGAAACTGGGATTGGTATGTAAAATGAAAAAAGATATTTTGTTTTCATTTTTAAAAATAGAATGAAGAAAAAGAATTGATAGAAGTAGTATTATAACACAAGAAAACATTAAATAGAATTTAAAAAAATCAGTCAGATGAAATGAAAGGAGAGTGATAGAATTCAGAAGAAACCACGAGAAGCTGGAAAGAAGATGGTATTTATCAAGTGAAGAGGATTGCAGTTAGAGCCAGAAGATATTATCATTAGCATACGGAAGTTAAAGGGAGTTGACTTGGGAGAAGAGATAATAAATTCAATTTAAGACATGTTGAGTGTGAGGCAATAACATAAGACATAAGCGATAGTCATGAAGTAATACAAATCCTGGAAGGGGATGGATGTTCGTGGAGAAAATACAGGATTCAACAGCACATACTGGCAACTAAATTCTTAGACTTGGAGGCCACTATCCGCCTTGTGTTCTTTTACTCCATTCAGTGATTATAGATATTTGTTACTTGAACAGTTATTGTGTGCTAAAGATTTCCTCTTATTCTTTTTGTCTTTTCTCTGTCTTAACCATCTCTGTGGTAGGTGAGGAAAGTGATCTTCTTAGTTACTAAAGTGCTCAGCCAAGGGCAGAGATCACATCACTGCCTATAAAAATTCTACTTATTAAGATTCATTCCAAATGAAATTTTGTCATGAAAATTTGAGTTCCATGTGTCAACTGCCACAGCCCTTTGTGCTGGTAATCATGGCAGCTGTCCCTTCCTACCAGGTTACACATGCATGTCCCCTGGCTGACTTTAGTTACTGAAGGTCAGAAAGAATGTACTTCCACAAAGAGCATTCTGCACAGCCCCATGTTATGATCGCAGGAGACATCTGGTACCTTATGAGTGAATCAAGAAATGTCAACAAAATCCAAAAGAATTACAGGGCAAGTATAGAGGGACAAACGAGACTCACAAATATTTCCTGCTGACAGTGAGCTTTAAGTTCTCACTTAGTGAAAGACCAACAAAACAAAAAGACCTGAAAGTGCCAAAACAGGAAGAAATGGAAGAATAAACTTCTAGAGGTCCTTATGACTAGAGGGGAGATGAATGCTCTAAAATTAAGCATGGCATAAGGAAAAAGTGACAGTGGAGGACCCCTTCTCTTTCCTAACTCTGATTTGCTTTAGTGTGTATTAGCAACAAATGAAGATGCCAGCGAGTGCATCTTGCAATACGCAGCTCTCTACCCTTCAAAGATGGACAAAAGACTTAGTGGTAAGAGGGTTGAAGTGACTTTTGTGTGGAGAGTGGTATTGGATCCATCAGTACAGACCCCAGAGAAAAAGCAGCTGGTAAACTCCTGAGAGTTGTTGCCTAGTATAAAATGGAAGCCAGGAAGGCAGAGGGGTGTCTCAGTGTGGCCTAGGTGACAGTGGGAACTCCTCTGGGAGTTAGTCACCAATCTCTAATCTCTGGTCTGATGTGGAATATTCCTTTACACTGTGTGAAAATGTGTCACCGTGATTGGTTTGATTAAGAGCTGAATGACCAATAGGTAGGCAGGCCATATAGGCAGGACTTCTGGACAGAAAGTTCTGGGAGGAAGAAAGGAAAAAAGCCAGAATTTGAGATAGCAGGATGGGCAGTACATAGTGAAGGTAACTGAGCCATATAAAAGAGCACAGATTTAAAAATATGATTTACTTAAAGTTATAAGAGATAGTGGGATGAGCCTAAGGTAAGGCTAAACTTTCATTATTAATAGTAAGTATCTGTGTCATTTTTCATGAGCTGGAGGCCCAAAGAAAATCCCAGCTACACTGATAAGATTGAAAACTTTGATTCCTTTACTATTTACACTCTTATAATATGAATAAGGAAATGTATTTAAAATTTGACTTTTGGCGTTAAGGGACTTTCTCTGTGATTGGTACAGCCACTTGTGTCAGGGGACACTGTAATTAAAGGTTTCTCTGCCCCATCCTGCAGCCACTTTTAAAAAAATCACTCAGAGGCTTAATATCAAGTACAAAATGATTGGTCAAAGAGCTCAGACTCATTACTAACTAGCTCTTACTTTTAAATTAACCAATTCCTATCCATCTATGTTTTGCCACGTGTCTCATGGTTTTACCTATGCTGTAATATGTCTTATTCCACTGGAGACTTGTTGGCATCTCTCTCGACTTTGCCCCTCTTTGTTTGAGTTCTCAGTTTGATTGTTCCGCCTAACCTTATCCTGCCTGGCTATTGGCCATACAACTTTTATTAACCAATGAGAGGAATACATATCACAGCATACAAAAAAAAATCATCCCACAGCAGGACACAGCTAGAAGAGTAGGAAGGGCTTCTGGGTGAACCAGCAGACAGAAGTGAAAGAGTAGGAAGGGCTTCTGAGGAATTTGAAAATGAGAATAACATCCTATCTGATGCTTGTTCATTGGCATGTGACTTGATTCTTTTTTCTCTTCTCTCTTCCCCCTTTCTTCTTCCCTCTCCCTTCCTCTACTCCATTCTTTTTCTTGTGTACTAGGGACTGAGTTCCAGTCCTCACTTGTGTAATTACACACTCAATCACTCAGTTACACCCTCAGCACTATTCAAATCTTATGAACCTCCATTCATCTTTGTTATCTAAGGTTTCTTTTTTTAAAGTCTAGTTAGACTTAAGTTGCTTTGGTAAACACCATAACAAAGGGTAGTCTGGGAAGGAAAGGGTTATTGCTTATTGTCATAGGTCACAGTTCTTCATGGAGGGAAATCAGGGCAAAAACATGAGGCAAGAACCTTGAAACAGGTACCATGGAATAATTCTGGTTACTGGCTTGCTCCCAATGGTTTGCTCAGTTTGCTTTTCTGCACAATCCAGGACCACCTTCCCAGGGGTGACACCATCCACAATAAGCAGAGCCTTCTAGTGTCCATCATTAATAAAGGAAATGCTCAACAGACATGCCCGCAGGACTGTCTGATGAAGGCAATTATCAGCGGAGATTCTCTCTTTCCAGAGAGAATTCTTGCGTTCTTAAAGCAATGCTAAGTTTGCATTGTTGACAAAATCTAACCTGCACCAACATGGTATCTCACTGATCCTGGAATTTACAAATTCAAGTAGAATGGTTTGCAGCAAGCCCTAAAAACCTTCCTGCTTCTTCCTCCCAAGCACTGAGGGTTTTCAGGTGTGTCCACCACCCCTGATAGTCCGTGGGTGGAATATCAGGATCCAAACTCGGGCTGGCACAATTACATGGCCAGCACGTTACCAAGTGAGCCATCTCCCCAGTCTCCCTAGTTAATTGTTCTTACAAAGATAGCCATTGTGAATCTATAGCTCAGTCTTAAGAATGAAGATATTGGGCCAGGTGTATTTGACACTGTTTGAGAACTTGCTAAATAGGTGATGAATTTCTGAGTTTGATTCTCTCTCTGTCTGTCTCTCTCTGTCTGTCTCTGTCTCTGTCTGTCTGTCTGTCTGTCTCTCTCTCTCTCACACACACACACACACGTGGAGGGGGGTAACCTAACATTTCTTTCCAGAAATTTTGAAAGACTTGTGATAGTATTTTAATCCATAGTAAACTGTGTCTTAAATTCTCCACAAGGTGCTAGAGAAGATTCTATATCTATAATTCAACTATTAATTTCTTGTGAAAAATAATGCCCAGAAATTGATGTACTAAAGAGTTCTCTAAGATCCCAAAGCTAGAGCGAGCTACAGGGTGTAGGTATGTTTGGAGGAAGCCAAGTGGGACATACCCTTTCAGCTCTAAATGACGACACTTGTGGGAAGTGATTGCCCAAGTTGTAATGGGTACAACAAGCTCGGGCTTGTGTGCATGATTTCTAAAGCCAAATTCTTATTGGAATATGGAAAGGGATCCTTTCTGATAAATATCATTTGCTTGATTTATACGATAACCCACCTTGAACAAGTTTTCAAGGTTCAGAGAATATGAGCAAATGAAATTCCAAGCAGAAAAGCATGCCTCTTCAGTAAACCCTGTTTGTAAATATTCAAAGTAATTTGGGGCACATGAGAATTTACAAGTAGCCCCTACAGTTTTAAACAGAAAGGCAGGCAAAGTGACATATTTGGGCTTTTATAATCTTGTTTTAATTGTTACGGGGTCAACAGTGAGAAAACCTTGAGTGTTTATGAAATTGGAACTAGCAATTCATTAAATATCCCCAAATAAGAGACTACCTCCATGAAGGATCTATGATGGTTATTACCACCATAGGTAGTTTCAATATTATTAATATATTGATTCTGGGCATCCAGATTTAAACACTGCTGTTCCTGGAACTTGGCAGTCCATCCCATTTCTTCATAAAATATTAAATGCCAGGATGCCATAAATGTTAATGTTATAGTATTAGAAGTAATTTTATTTAAGAAAACTTATCATGAGAGCAGATAAGTAACAAAAACAAAAACGAAATACCACACATTCTTTTTACACAAAATCGGTTCTTCTTCTTTATAACCATATTAATGAAATATTTTTAAATATGCTTAGTCTTTTTCCCCCAGTGGCGGTGAGGAAAGGGAATGGTGCTGACTGTCGAATGGAGGACTTCTCCAGAGTCTCATCAGTTATGCTCTCTACTGGTCTGCAGATACCTTGGCTGTGATCCTCTGTCGCCTACGGGGAAAGCTGTGGTGCACCTCACAGCAGCAGGGGCCAGCAGGGACTTTTCTTGCACTTGCGTTCATTTTTGTTGTTTTAAAAATTGTTTTATATGCGCGGTGATGCCCACAGGTGACAGGAAACCAGTGTTTCAGGAGGAAACTTGATCGTATCTCTAGATCACGCAGGTATCCCAAACAAGCGTGCGAGTGAGTGCCTGCAGGCTTCAGGCCCGTGCCAGGAGCACATAGTTTCTGGATTGGTAAGAACTGCCAAATGACGCTTCATGAAATACAAATGAAAGAAAGACTCATGGAGCGCAATAAAAACCCTCCGCCCTTCAGTCTAGAAGGACCAGGGAGAGAAGTTCAGCAGCTACAGAATATGGCTCTGGGGGTTGCAATGGTAGTCTGCCTCCTGTTCAAAGGTAAGTCATTTCCTTTTTTTTTTTCCTTACTGTAACACTGAAAAATGTAAAGATTTAGTCCCTTGAAGTCAAGGTTGCCCCTGGCAAGGATCAGAGCAAGGGATGTGTGGATTAATCTGGTCTTTATGGAATATATGCTCTTTTTCTCTCTTGGTTTATTTTAAGAAGGCTGAAATGATTGCTTTAAGCAATTTGGACAGCTACTGCCCTGCAGTAAGCCGTGTGCGGTGATTGACTCAGCATGTAAACACACGAACTTTCTCCTAAGAATGAATGCATTTCAGTGTTCCGTGATTATAACATTGCCAATGAGACGGCTAAAGAGTAGTCTGGAACTGCGCTTGTCAGGTTCTGGATCCCTTCAACTATAGCGAGTTAAAACCAGAACAGAAAATGGGAATCCCTAGACAGACCCGCTTTGGATCTGTTGTTTGAGCACCACAGCGGAGACTCACCTGTCAGAGATGCTTTTCCCTACCACAGCCATGGCGGCCGCACTGACGGAAGAAGAAGCTGAGGTGCGCATGGCACCTCCTACCCCAGCACCGCAGAGCAACCGGACAGTTAACGACACAGAAGGTATGGCTTTGCCACTCTGTTCCAAGCGTCTTCTTTGAAACCTTTAACAGAAAGCTGAATTGTAATAGAGACAACACTGGAAACATTTCGACCAACATTTTATGAGATAACCAGCTAGTTTGGAAAGACGATGCTAAGCTGAAGTGACAGGTAGCTGTGCCAGTCAAGGATTACTTTTTTTTTTTTTTTTTAAAGGAGGAAGTGAAATGAGGGTGAGAAAAGCTGCCTGTCTTCAGCTGCTTTCCTGATGTGAGGCCTGGCACAGGTTCTGCTTGGATATTGCTTGACTCCCAGTGACCCAGGGTATCCAGTGTAATTAATTGCATTTGACTTTGCCATTCTTGAGGAGAGTCACTGTGTTTTGATCTCTGACAGCAAGCCTTGCAGCCGCAGAAATTATAGATACAAGAAACAGTGTTTTTCTTCATTTTAGAAAAGGTCTTTTTTGTTGTTGCCCGTTGTCATTTTAGCCTAGGCAGCGTTTCCTAACCTCTTCTACCCAGTTTTTGTTACTGATGGTGGTCACATCTTTTCTTTCCACCTGACCGAGCATGTCATAGAGGCTTCTGGCTACTGTGGAGCATGGCGCTGTGGCAGGGCTTGCAAACCCATTTGAACCACAGATGAACTTGGAAAGCTTTTGCCTGTCAAGACCTGTGTCTGAATGGCTTTGCCTCCCTCACAGATCTCATAACGTCCCCTGACGTAAAGACGATGGGCTGTGATCAGGGCACAGGCAGCTCCTTATCTTGATTTCAGGGTCTAGCCAATAAAAGAAGATGATTCCAAATAGTTCATTCCTAAATATTAAAGATAGTAATATCAAGCGGTTCCTCATTTTTCCCATGATTTTTAAACCCCCAAGCTGTCCATTTGATTTTTGAGCATTAAAAACTGAACATGTAGAAAATATAAAGACATGGTTTTATCTTAGTGGCAGAAGGCAGAGCCGTGTTTCCAGCGCCCACCCTCCCCTTTTCTCTCTCATATGCAGAATGAAATGCGTCTTCAATGTAGATAACAGAAATGAGGAAAGAAGGGAGCAGTTATGCTATATTTTTCCTCTGCATTGTTTTATTCATGAAAAAATCTTGTATTTTCCCTTGGTTTTGTTGCAGTGCTGGCGTAGACTCCAAGGCCATGTGTGTGCTTAGCAGACATCCTGTAACTGAGATATAGTCCTTCTTTTTACTTAAAAACATGAATCATATCTTATAAATGTTTTAAAGAAGTTATAACTAATATTCTTCTCTGCAAGGGAAAAATGAGTCTCTCTGAAGTGCCCTTTCTTTGGAAATGGTATTTTTCAAATTTTCATATTTTCCAGAAAATTCTTCTTTAGATTTGGTTAAGTGAACTTGGTTAGTTTTCAATTAAAAGGAACATAGCATAGCATAAATGAGAAATTCTCAGTGTCTGCAAATCAATTCCTAAGGCGATAAATTGTGCTTAAGATACGATAGTCAGGAAATTGAGTTTCAATTTTAAGTTCTGGTATGTGTTTCCAAAGCAAAGTGATATGGTGTCCTGTTGATATTCTAAGATATAGACACTTTGTATTTTTCACATGAAAAGGAATGATTTTATGTATTTTTTTTTTTTTGCCTCAAGACACCTGGGTAGTGTCCTCTTGGTCTCTGTAGGAATGCACACACGGTGTAGCATGACTGATGATTAAGAGTGAGGAGATGGTCACTCAACACAACACAACACAATATGCCGCTAATTCTGCATCAGAAAGGTTTAGAAATGGCAACGATTCAATTATGCAGGCGTCCCTATAAGTCTCTCCTACTGCAGAAGCGCCAGGACGGCCGCAGAATGTGTCACATCGGGCAGGCCAGAATCAGTGGCATCCTGAAACACAGACGATTTTCCCATGAGCACCCTTTCCTGACACGGGTGTCCCAGAAGAAGGTTTAGCATCGCTAGACTACACACCATGGTTATTTTTGCAGTGCTGGAACAAAAGAAAGGAAAATCTGCCTCAGATGCCACCTCTGTGGCTTTGCCACTGCTTCACGACAGTAGAACTGTCACTTAGTATGTGGTGGTGTTGCCATTGTCTGTGTTCGCCTGAGCCCCACATGAGGTGTGGCTTCTTTTATCAGCCATAACAGCCCCTTGCTAGACAGCCAGTGGAAATGTCCCCTGTCTAATTAGCTCCTCGTGGCAGTTGGCGGGAGAGTGAAAGGGGCTCTCATCTTTACCTCTGGAGAGGACATAAACATCTATTTTATTGTAGAGTGAAGCCACATCCAGGCCTCCCTGGGTGCCGCCCTCCCCACGCAGGGGAAATGCAAAGTGAAATGAGGCCTCCTTTTCTAATTAGCATCAGGTACCAGTCTGGCAAATGTTCAATATTACCGGCTAAGCTGGAACCCGATGCTGCCACCTTTCGACCAGCTCACCTCAATGCTCGGTTATGTAGCTTCTAAGGAATGGGGCGGTCGTCAGTCCACCTCCACCCTGTAATTAATTAACAATGTGTGTAGAGATATGAACCCAACCTTTTGTATAGAACACCCCCACCCAAGAAAATCAGTGTTTCAAAGGACAAAGAGCCGAAAATATTCTTGACATAAAAAGCCTCTTTACACATGCATTGAATGTGTTTTGTAAAAACAGGACACACTGAACTGTTGATAATGTCTCTCCTTTTCCTAGCTGACTACATAGAAGAACCTGTAGCTTTGAAGTTCTCCCACCCTTGTCTGGAAGACCACAACAGCTACTGCATTAACGGAATGTGCGCCTTCCACCACGAGCTGGAGAGAGCCATTTGCAGGTAACTGTGAAGAATTCAGCAAGTCTTAGAGACAGAAGAAAGTGGTAGACATAACAGTTCCACTTGTCCTGTTTGGTCCAGTAAGACTAGTGCTTGTTAGCCCATTGGTATGCTCTTCCCTGGAGAAGGCTGTTTCTCCTGCTCTCACCGTTCCCTAGTCAGCTATAGCTCTTTGTGTAGGGGAGATATCCTGAATCTTCCTCAACCTTAGTCCACATTAGTTTGTCTGTTGCCCTTGTCATTGTTCTGGTCATACTTAAGCAGTCACATTGATGAGACTTCATGGGTGTCGCTTCTGCCATTTCTAGGAGACATAGTATCAAAGAAAACTCCCTCTTCCTGTAGGGAGTAAGGAGGTGCTTAGAGGAAGAAGAGGGATGGGGGGATGTAATTCTATTATAATCTCAAGAAAATAATTAGGAATAAGATGATGAAATGTCAAAAGAATGAGGAAAATGTTGCTTGATCTGAACGTGACTGGGCAGTCTTCTTCATATTTGAATATGAAGAAGTCTTTTTCTCTAATCTACTTATCCATGTTACTCAAAACTATAGTTCCCAGACTAGAGTATGCATCGAACCTGGAGCTTCCTAGAAATGCTGTCTTTAATGGTCTATAACTATCAAACCAGTATCTTCATTTCTAACAACATGCAAAGATGACTCTGAACTTCCATAGGTTGGCAGGATGAGACAGACTCCCACAGAAAGAAAATCTCTTCAGGAAGATGAAGCCCTGGAGCTGCCATGAACTTTTTTTTGGCCAAAGGCTTGCTCAGTTTCTTGACAGTCTGCCTCTCACTCCCAGCAGTGAGGGAGATACTGACAAGACCCTGGTAAAGCTCAGACTGCTTCATTAGTGGACTGGCTCCCATGTGCCTCAGCAAAGTTGTCTCTTTTCTCATTTGTGGAAGCGGTCACCTGGTTGTTCTTCTGCCATTGTAGGCTTTTCTCTTTATTCTTTTCTCTCTTTAAAGGTGCTTTACCGGTTATACGGGAGAAAGATGTGAGCATTTGACCTTAACTTCGTATGCTGTGGATTCTTATGAGAAATACATTGCAATCGGGATTGGCGTTGGATTACTAATTAGTGCTCTCCTTGCTGTCTTATATTGCTATGTAAGAAAAAGGTATGGAAAAGACAAGGCATTAAAAGGGCTGTGTGCTCACTTGACAAGTGTTCACTGAGTCCCTACTGTTGACATGTGTGTCTGAGAAGACCCTCTGTAACATTTTTGGTCCCTTTTCATTAACCTAGACAAGTGATAAAAATTGCCTTCAGATGCAATAGAACAGTGCAAATTTAGAGTTTCCTTTCTTCTTACCTATGTTTACCTCAGTCAAAGTTCTGAATGGGAAGGACAACAGGCTTCTGGAAAGGCAGAAATTAGGTACATCTTACTGATGATTATGTATTTAGTGTCTAAAAATGCATACATATTGTTGAGTAAAAAAGAAGTTAAAAGCTAGGCATTGGTGGCACACACCTTTAATCCCAGTGCTCGGAAGGCAGAGGCAAGTGGATCTCTGTGAGTTTGATGCCAGCCTAGTTTACAGAGAGAGTTCCAGGACAACAAATACTGCCTACACAAAGAAATATTGTCTCCAAAATCCAAAACAAAATTTAAGAAATACTTATTAAATAAATGAAAATGTGTGACAGATATGGGCCACTTTCTCCATAGCCATCAAGAGTATGTTTCTTTAGCAACACTGTCTGCTGCTAAAGTCCCAATATCAAGAACTTAATCTGCAAACAAGTTCAAATTAGTTATGTGTGTACCATAGTATTTCAAGTTTCCACACACAAGTTATTGGTCATCAAATCCACACAACTAAGAAAAACTCAAAAGTTAATGAGAGGCACATTAAGAACAAATATATTTCCCTTGCGGTACTTTCACTATTCTCTTTTTTTAAAAATCAACTAAACTTCCATGACCAAAGTTAGAAGTGCCTTTCGCTTAATAAATGCCTATCAGAAAGAATTGAATATGTGTTATATTAGCTTTATTCTTGTCAAAGAGATGAAGAATAATAATGAGAAAGAGGAGGAAGAAAGCAAAGAGGAAAAAGAAAGGGAAGAGGAGGAGGAAGAGGAGGAAAAGGAGGAGAAAGGGGGAGAGGAAAAGGAAGAGATGAGGAGAAAAAGGAGTGGAGATTTGTTGACATCCAAGAGCTGGGCTGGAAAGTCAGGTTCTCTGGGAAAATGGAGATGGTTATGCTTGTGTGGTCGTGGGTGGTATCTAAGACAAAACCTGTAGTGAGGTAAGGAAAGCAGACAACACAGCCCAAAGTTGCCATGCAAAGATGTGGCTTCATCTCCAGTGCAGTCTGGGCCTGATTCTCTAGCGACAGAGAGAATGCAAATGACATCATCGGCCCATCCCAGAGAGGAGCTGCTCTTGGCTTTAATACTCCACCTCAGTTAATCATGGGTCACGATGCTCACAGTGGAGTAGTGATCGGGGTCTTAAGAAACTTGTTGGCAAAGACTCTGTTGAGCAGGGTGCTACTGTGCATGGGGTGCTTCCTGCGACTGAGTGATGCATCCACCAGAAGACAAATGGCATCTAGGAAGAGTACTGAGAGCAACTGCAACGGCAGCATGCATGTGTGTGTGTAGTCCATAGTGATCAACACAGACAGCACTCTCATGGAAACCAATGTTCTCTCTGTTGCAGATGCTTAAATCTGAAATCACCGTACATCATTTGCTCTGGAGGGAGACCACTGTGAGACCTTGCAAGGCATATTCTTCAAGTCATTTGTCAAAAGCAATGGGGACTCGGATGGAGATCTTCAGATGATACAGAACGTGACAAACTAGCTTGAAGATAATGGAAGTTTGGGTCACAACGCAATACGAGGATAACATTGAGCATTGATTGGTTCTCAGGTTTGCTGTCTTCGGGTGCCACAGGAGCTGTGTGAACAAGCTACGCAGACGCCAAGTTTACAATGCTACTTTGGGCTTGTTATTGTGTGGTCATTGCCACTGTAGGAGGACTTGTTCCATGCTTCTGATCATCTCAAATGTGAATTTTCATTTTCATCATTTAGTCCACATCAAGTCAAAGTAATGTCATGCCTGTGTTCTTCACGTACGCAACATTTTGACCACCTGTCTCAACGGACCTGATCTCAAACCTTCTGTCCTCGTGCAATTTCAGGGAATTTGGTATCATCTTCTAAATGAAACCAATGAATGGCTCTTTGAGTGAACTAAAAATGCATTCAACCCAAACCACTGAAAGAAAACGGAGTACCCAAGGCAAGCATAAATTATACCCAGCTTGGGACAACAGTGTGCAAACTTTATTTGCGGAGTTTGGAATAGCAAAGGAATTCTCAAGGATGGAAAGTCACCTGGACAGCAAATCCTGAGTAGGCAAAACTGCTCCTTCTCTATGGATTAGACAGCCTTGGGTTGGGATAATCGGTCCCCTGGTCCTCTTACTCATCATCCCATCCTTCCATAAGGCTCACTGGCGTCCATCACCTGAACTGAAGTCCTAGAATTCAACAAGAAACTATAAGCCTCCAACTGATCCCAGAATGGAAACTGAGAACTAGATATAGGAACAACAGCTTGTAGGATGTTACCATTCTTGATCGATAACATATTTGTGCTTAGGTAAAAATGGAACAATGGTAGAAATACTTATTTGGAAATCAGGATCCTTCGTTTGAATTGTGTTTCTGCCACATGATCCAGTCTTGGACATGTCTTTTACTCTCTTTGGGCTTTGGTTACCTTTTCTTCAATACCCATGTAGCTCTAAAATTGAACTATAGAAGAAGAGAAAAGAGGCCCAACTCCTATATCTGTACTGTAAATGAGATTATCTTCAACTCTTCCATTATCAACCCATGCCTAATACCAAAATACCCATGGGTGCCATCCTTAGTATATATCTTAATGTTCAGTTTTTAAGACAATAATTTATTTTAAGAGTAAATACAAATGAGATTACAGAGTATTAACAGCTATTGTTTTTCTTTCTGCATTTAATCTAGAACTAAGGACTTACTTCTTTTTCTCAGAAACAGAACAATTTGACCGTGAGATTAATTAAAAGAAAGTGATGCTTGGCTATTCTTACAATAGCAGCTAGTCCTAAACCCGATGCCTGTACTGGCCTAGCGTTCCATCCACACTTTAGGTAGGTACACTACGCCCTGCTTTCCTCTGAGAGGTGTTTCCTCCAGAAGGAATGCCTTGCCGCTGTGTGTGTGTGTGTCAGCACTCTCTGCACATGAAGTTACATCACGCCGAAGGGTGGGGAGTGACGGCCCCACCCAGTGACTCCTACAGCCCCACCCAGAAAGCAACCTCTTCCCGAGCATTTCAAAAAGATGGAGATTTTTTGCCTAGGAGATGTTGGGAGCAGTGAGACCCCAGATCCTGAATTTCTTGTAATCCCCTGATCTGAGTGCCTACAGCTGCTCTGAGCAGGAGACCTTCAGGAGTTCCTGATGGCAGGAGAGTGGTTTCTGGTGGGTTTGGCTGGGGCGTGGCTATCTCTATATAATCTGCCCCTGAACACAATAAAGGGGCATTCTTGGGGAATTCAAGGATGACCCGTGTCGCTGTCTCTCTGTCTGTGTGCGTCTGTGCATTTTAACCTCCAGCCCCCTTGCCTGAAGTTCGCGAAGTGGGTGCCAGCACAGAGAGCGTAGACACGGGGGCGTGGTGCGTGGCGAGGAGAGTCCAGGAAGATATACTGGAGGCCTACCCTTTTTTTTTTTTTTTTGAAGATGCAGAATGTAATTTGTTTAATTGGCTCTTTCACTCAGGGACTAGAAACCTTAATGATAACATTAGGGAAGAGTGCAGGGCAGATAACAGAGTAACCAAAAGCTGAGACTTTTCCAAAGAATGAAATAGGAAGTACTACTTCATCATTTACATGTCCTTTTTAACATGGAAGCTGCCACTGGGCCACAAGAATGGAGACCAAGAGGGTCTGGGACATTTAAGAGGATGTGGGATGGTAGGATATGGAGATTCAAGGGTCTTCCTTCCTGGGATCACTAGCCCAGAAGGCTTAAAGTTTCATCGAAATCTGCATTTGTTGTTGTTGCTGTTTTTCTTGCTGTTGTTTTATTACAGTCCTGGAGATTGAACATTGGGCTCCATGGATACTAAACTAGAGTTTTAACACAGAGCTACTCCCCAGGATCTAGATTTAGCCTCCCATCTCTAATGGTGATATCTGGATGACTTAAGAGAGAAGCCAACCTCCAGTTTGCAGATGCTTCCAGAAATAACTAAACAAAAGCTTCCTATTCCTCTTGAGAAAAGAGGAATTCCTGCTACCTGTGGAGAGGTGACATCACACATGCTTACAGTCTGTAAGTGCCTGCCAATTTCAAACACACTAGCCTGACATTAGAATATCAGTTATGACTTTCATATAGCAAATCAAAATGTTAATTGGAACAGTAATACATATCCAATATTCTTCACTCACCGCAGACTATTTTTTTAAAAATATAAAACACACCCAGCTTAACAACACAGCAACTTAGAGCACAGTTTATGAAAGCTGCTTGATCATGGGCGAGTGTATACCATGACCTTGTGATCCTGTATCTACTGGGGCTCCTTTTGCAGAAAAGAATCTCTGGCATGCCTGTGGCAGTGGAGGAACATCTCTCAGATCTGTGTGCACACAAGAAAAGATGATACACATGCCATAAGATTCTGAGCAGAACAAATCAATAAAGTTTTTGCCTCAGAACTGCATTTTCAGTTACCTAGGTGGATTGTTTGATGGCGTGTTTCTGGTGTCCTTGACAAAACCAAACAGTCCAAAAACTTCAACTTCATTCATTCCCTTGTTTCGCCTTCCTGTTTCCGCCTTTCATTTCTTGGAGATGACATTCTTAGGTCATCTGCATTTATGAGTCCATCATTATGTAGTAGTTTAGACTATGGTAGGGGCGGAGCAAACCTCATAATATCAGCCAGACCAAGCTAATAACTTTACAAAAAAGGATTCATAACAGTTTGTCACTATAACCCAAGTTAGCTTTTTAATGTAATCATAGGATGATATTATAAATTAATCCATCTTTTAGAATTTCCTGCAACCGTGCATATCTAGTCCTTTAATTTTGACATGTCCGTTTTGGTGATGTCAATAAGATTTCCCTTCATTATATTTAATTGAAAAAAATGTCTTAAGAAAATAAAAGAAAAACACCAGCAATTTAAGCTGTTAATGCCGAGCGCAAAGACAATTCATGTATGCAGAAGACTCCGTGTAACTTTTCTTTGTTACAAAATGTTAGATGCTCTCTACATGTGACATAAATATTGATAGCAAGCAACCCACACTCATGGGAAGGGTTACCAGAATCTCTCTTGCAAAATACCACTCTTTCTGGCTTACATCACTGGCTGATGACATCAGGCATGAGCACCTGCCAAGAAGCAGTGGAAGTGTTGAAATTGAGTTTGTCAGCGTCTGGCACCATGAATGTGGGTGAGTCCACATTTCCGTCCAAACCTTTGGCCCATATCTATCCAGTACCGCATCTAAGAGCACACCTTTCAAGTCCTGGATGATACGTCTGTTAATTATTCAAATCAATCCAAGGGCGTGGGAGTCTCTGAGCATCTAGGGACCTAAGAATCCTAACCTTGAGAAGACCCCTGTTTTAAAAATTGTGCGCTGCCATTTGATTCCAGGTCTCTACATACCCTAAATGTGAAAGATTGCGGGCAACACCTGCCACTTCCAGAGAAATGCCTTATCGGGGATAGGAATGTGATTACGTGATAACGAGGGTAGCCTCAATTACCTCGTGGTCTTTGTCATTTTTATGCCTCAGATGCAGCCATAAAATACATACAGCACAGGTGTCTAGATTGAAATCCAGTTAAGACCAAAGGCGTGCAGTTATAGCCAACAGTGTTTCTGATTCTCAGGGAGATACTAATGAGAATTCAGGCTTAGTGGTGTATGGCTGTAATCCTAAACGTTTAGGAGGCGAGGGGGGCGCTCAGAATTTCAAGACTAGCTTGGGCTACTTATCTAGACTGTCTCAAAAGACAAGAAATAAACAAAACAAAGAAAGACTAATTAAGCCATAGATGTTTCTGGAAAGAATGACATTCTTCAGACCTTTTAAGTTGTACAAATTGCATATGAAGTTCTTGTGCTGCCATTCGTGAGGTCTTACAAGGTTTGGGAAGCACTGCTTTAATTTATCTGATGGACACGCCCTGCAAACGTGGTCAAGGACACAGACTTTCAGCTCTTCTGTCTACGCCGTACTCTTCTTGATGTTTCCCAACAGCATATGGAAAATTCACATTATAGGTTAACATCTGGGTGAACCTGGAAAGACAGCCAAGTGAACATCCAAGGAAAAACTTTCTTCCCTTGATAATATATATTATATTATATTATATATATTATATATTACATATTATACATATTATATATATATATGTATATGATAGCTTTTGTCACAGATCAACCACAGAAATTCCCTACTGACATCTTCAGATTAAGATATGCATGCCATCCTCAGGGTGGGGCCAGAAAAGAAGCAAAGAGCCTGCTGACAGGTGGGTCCTCAGACTCTGAAGACAGGATACCTACCCTAAATACTGCCTGGTGTATCCTCAGGACTCAAGGCCACTTGAGAATATTCTACATTGTCTGTGGACAAGAATTGTCCGGCACTGTTAACTTCACTGGGCAGGCCTGACTGGGGTTGAGGACAGACAACAAACAAAGCACCCAAGTTGTCAGTAGAATTTAGGAGAAACCCTCTTCCTCTCCACTACCTTCAGCCCTAACCCTACCCCAAATTGTCTCTTAAAGGAAAATAGTAAATTTTGATGGATCAGGTTAAGACAAAAATTAGACCTGTCAGAATGACCGAGATCAAAAACACTGATGATAGCTTATGCCGGAGAGGATGTGGAGAAAGGGGAACATTCCTGCATTGCTGGTGGAGTGCAAACTTGTACAGTTGCTTTGGAAATCAGTATGGCAATTTCTCAGAAAACTAGGAAACTATCTACCTCAAGACCCATCAATACTACATTTGGGTATATACCTGAAGGAAGCTCAATCATACCACAAGGACATGTGCTCAACTATGTTCATAGCAGCATTATTTGTAATATCCAGAACCTGGAAATAACCTAGATGCCCCTCAATCGAAGAATGGGTAAAAAAGTGGTACAGTTACACAGTGGAGTACTACTCAGCAGGAAAAAATAATTACTCTTGAAATTTGCAGACAAATAGATGGATCTAGAAAAAAACATATTGAGTGAGGTAACCCACACCCAGAAAGACAAATATAATATTTACTCTCTCATAAGTGACTTTTAGACATAAAGCAAAGAAAAATCAGCCTACAATCCACAACCCCAGAAAATCTAAACAATAAAGAGGACCCTAAAAGAGACATACATGGATCTAAATAGGAAGGAGAAAAAGACAAGATCTCCTGGGTAAATTAGGAGGGTGGAGGTCATGGGAGAGGGTAGAAGGAGAAAGTAAAGGAAGGGAGGGTTGCTAGGAAACATGCACAGCACAATAAAAATAATAAAAACATTATTTAACAAAAGCAAAAATCCAAAAAAACAAACAAAAAAGACAAATATTGGAAATATAATAAATATCTGTTGTAACAACGGCTGCCACTTTTGTTACATGAGTCCTAATGCATACTGAGTTCTGGGTCTGTGTAACTTCATGGGGCCCTTTGGATATGATGCTCAGTTAGAGTAATTAGACTATAAAGATCACTTCCCTGTTCCCCCCCTGGCAATAAGAAACATGAAGAAAAGGGGAAGGTGTCAGGAAGATCCCACCCACAGACATCAGACATTATTTCCCTTGGCTTCCGGGTGTTTGTTTTAAAACAAGACCACATTTAGAAGCCAAGGTAGTTTCATGTAAAGAGAATGCACCAAAGACCACTTGTGTCGTCTGGCACAGCTGTGGGTAGGAGTGTGTCCTCAGCATCTATAGGCTTCTGGTGCCCAGGCTGCCAATTCGAGGTTCCCAGGAGCCTTTGAAGCCTCCCAGCTTGGTTGAATGACTGCGGAGTTTAATTACCGAGAGAGGCCTGTAGGGGGTGCTGTTGCCCTGAGAACCTCACAGGTCAGAACCACCCTCGGATCCAACAGTTGCAGAGGAATGCTTGTTGTGGTCGGAGAACCCACACCACCTGGGAACTGGCTGGGTGGGAGCTGATGACTCAGACACTGCCTTGCCCTTGCCCTCAGCTGCTTTCTGCGACAGTACTTGTTGGATGTGTCTTCTCAGCTCACCAGCCTGCTAAGGTTACCTCCCAATTCAAAGCCTGGCACCGGCTTCACCTTGTATTCCAATTTAGTGAGGACTCCTCA